TCATTATTTGATTCATACTCAATTATACCTTTTTGAAATGGTGTTTTGACTTATATAAATTCTGAAAATTTCAAATTGAAAAACACCTCCAATAATTTTCAAAATATTCATTAAATCAAATTCACTACTTTTCAAATATTTTCAAATATTTTCAAAAAGTGTTCATATTGTTCATACCATTTCATATCCAGAATTGTTGAACACTTGTATTGATATTGAAAGGTGAATTTTGATCAAAAGGAGAAGATCAATCTTTGTATTGATATTATTATTGCATCACTCTCAAATTACAAAATTACAAGAATTATTTCTGTGTGACTTGTGATTCAGGATTGTTGAACACATGGATTAGTGTTTGCAAGAGGATTGCTCTTACTCACTAAGTTGTTGAAATAGTTGTTAGATAGTAGGCCTCACCGGTTGATGGTGTGATAGGTTGTACATTCTAAAACTATAGTGAAAACTCTCTTTCATGTGGAAAGGGGAGTGAAGTACCTTCGGATTGTGAAGGGAACCACTATAAATCTCTGTTTCCATTTTTCATTATGTCTTTACTGCTTTCATCATCAAGATCATAACCAAGAAAAATTCAAGAATATCGAAAAACCGGAAAAAGTTTCTAAAGCCTAATTCACCCCCCCCCCCCCCCCTCTTAGGCATACTCTAAAATTACAAACTTAGGCGTTTGAGCTCCAAAGTAAAGCCCGCCCCGTTTACTAACGAGTTAGCGGGTCGGCCCGCTAATTTTTTATTTTACAATTTGATTTGCTACATAATTTACAACAACAAAAAATTGTTACCAAAGAGGTTGACAATTTTTTTTAAGAACGCATAAAAGAACTTCAACATGTCTTAAGTTCAAACAGTTCAAAAAATAAAATAAATAAAGACCAATTACAATATAAAAAATAACGAAATAAACTCAAACACAATAAAAAACATATCAAAATAAATAAATAAACAATACATATCATCTTAATCCTATTTAAAAACTAATTACTAAAAGAATCCAATTAAGAATTTACAAAAGACAAACAATAATAACAATTACATTGCATAAAACATCATAGTGCATAAAATATCAACACCTTACTTTTTTACTGTTTACATCATATAGACTTTTATATTGACTGATTTCTTAATAGTTAAATCACAAATTTGTCACACGTATACACAAATCAAATCCTTTCTTTTCTTAAAATCAACATCTATTTCTAAAGAAAACATGTGAGCTAATGTTTGACAACTTAATAATTCAGCATGACATACAATTGTTTTTTTATTTTAAGTTTTTCTAATCAACACATGTATTAGAAAGTTATAGAAAGAACGTTATAATTATAATTCATTTTTTTTGTATAATAATTTGTAATACAATTTAATCAACATAAATCTAAGAGAAGAGTGTTGTTTTTATAGTTAAAGTTGCTTTAATTCTAAGTAAAAAATAAAAAGTTTTAACAAAAAAACTGTGGGCAAAACTCGTCTCGGCCCGCTTTTTCAAACGGGTTAGGCGAGACGGGCCAACTTAAAGTACCGAGCCAAAAAAGACGGGTCAAACGGGACAACCCGACGGACCCACCCCATTTTGGCACCCCTAATTGGAAAGTTAACACGCATAGCTACCTCATGGTAGTGCTTTTGTGAATTGTTTGAATTATAATAATGTGTCTATTATGGCAATGCTTGTGATGACTTGTATGATCAGTTAGCGAATCGTTAGGTTTATATAATGATGTGTTGTTGTTTTGGTTAAGTAATATATTGATGTCGCAACATTGAGTGATTGTTGTGTATTATGAATGATGTTATGCATAAATGATAAGATATTCATGGTGATTCTTTTGGTGAATATTTTGGTGATAATGCATGTTGTTGAGAGTCATGCGTCATGGTGTACGAACTTCAGTCCAGTTTTTGTGTGCTTTGGTCGGGCGGTATAGATCGAGAGCCGATAGCTAGTTCTCATGAATGACTAGTGAAATGTTATCTATGGTGAAGGTAAAAAACTTTAATGTGCTATGGTCCTATGGTGGGGATTGGGAGCGAGTAGCCAGTTCCAAATGGCGGCTGGTGAAGCATTATCTATGGTGATAATAATTATTTGGTGCACAGGAATCTGGGTTAACTGAAGCTATGGAGACTCAATAGAGTCTAAAGCTCGAAGTAGCTAAAGGCACCTTTGATGTTAGACTCTCTATCCTCTATATTCTCCTTTCCTTTTTTGTTTTTTGTATTATTAATGAAAGTTGTTTTTTTATTTTATATTGGTTCTCTCATATTCTGATTGCATTTACTTCATTTTATGTTATTGTTTAACTTAATCTTTTTTATTGATGTCAAAGAGGGAGGAAATGAATATGATTTGATATATCTTGTAACCTTAATAAATCCAAAACAATGTTGAAAACCTGTTGATTATTTTCTAAACTTCAAAACTTTTTCTAGTCTCATCTCAGGAGAAGCTTATAAACCTCACTTTGAAATTTGATAAGTATAAAACTCAGGGGGGGAGCTTCCTAAAATATCTTTGATGTTTTATAGATATGATTATCTAGTAAAAATTATTCATCAAAATACATGAATTTGTCATCAAAAAAGGGAGAAATTGTTGGAACAAGTTTGATTTTACAACTATCCTTAAGTTTTATGATAACAAAGTGTAGAGAATAATTTTGAACTCTAACTATTTTGCTAAGTGTACAAATAATAGAAAATGGATTGTGACTCTGAAGACGTCTAGACTCTGAACTAAAGGATTAATTAAAAGTGTATTTACAAGAAAGTCAAAAAAATCTGAGTTATCAAGTCAGTGTTTCTGCAAAGAAACTATCCAGAAAGACCTCGATAAATAATATAACTACAAGCATATAATATCTCAGAACTTTAAACTACATAAACTCAAAAGTCTTATTCTCTCCAAGTTCTGAAGATAAATCCTAAACTCTACTCAAATTTCATCAACTTATATTTGAAGCCTTTGACTAGAAATTTATATTCAAAAGTAAAGACAGAAGTACAAAAGTAAAATCTACTTTCTATGTAAAGTATTGTACTATGTACCTACGAAATCCATCACGTCATATCATCCTCACCAACTATCTACTGCAAGCGTCACTCAAATGTTGTAAAATAAAGTGACTTTCATACAATTGTTATATTGAGGATATTCCAACTTCACTCTCCAACGAATCTATTTCTCCCTGTATAAAGAGATCGTGGAAGCTTGAAAGATACACATATATAAGAAAGAGAGCATACAACACAAAATTGCATTAGATTTCAAAGGCTCTTATGTAAAAGAAAAATGAAAGTGTTTTCAATATAAGAAAACTATTATGTTCAAAAATGTTAGAACACTTTCTTGAACCATTTCTTAAATTTGTTTTAATCTTGTGTGTATGCTTTTTGAAACATATTGTAAACACTACCTTGTTTATCTTAATCTTTGGTTAATTTTCTTGAGAGACCAAGTTTAGTTAAATTTCTCAAAAAGTCATTGGCAATTAGTCTTTGAGTTGTATTTTTCTTGAAAGACTAGGGTATAGTCAGAATTTCTCAAGAAGTCTCAAGTTGTTTGTGTTTGAGTGTTTTAAATCCTTATTGAGAAGGAGAAATCACTCAAGCAGATGGATTAGACGTAGTTTCATTAACTGCGAACCAGGATAAAAATACTTGTCTTATTTTTTCTTTATCTCTTCGTTGTTGTTTGTGTTCTTAGGTATCAAAAGTTTTAAAGACAGAAACTCAATATATATATATATATAACGTATCATATGAGAATGTCATTTTTATGTGAGAACATAAGAATGAATCTGAACCATTAGATTTTAAAATAAATGGTAGAGATTATATGTCATTTTTTTTCTTCCTCTATCATTTATTTTAATAATGGAGAAGAGAAAAAAAAAACCACAATTTATTTTAAAATCTAATGATTCAAATTCATTCTCATATTCTTATGTAAAAATGACATTCTCATAAGATACGTCATATATATGTTAAAAATAATTTTTTATAGTATTTCAAAAATAAAAAATATATTAATTAATAAATATTATTTTATTATTTTAAATTGAATCTTTTTTTTTTAAATCTTAAAAAAATTTCTATATCTCTTAAAAAAATTATTTTTTGAAACTCTCTCTTCTCCTTCCCTCCAAACTCTAAAAGAAAAAGATGGAGACACCACAAATCCATTAAGACCATTGTCTGTTTTCAATTTATTTTACTCACACTTTTTTAGTCCCCTGCATGATTACTATTACTATGGGTTTTTTTATCATCCAATGTGACATTTTTCTCTCCTCCAAATTTTATCTTCACCCATTAAATACAAAGTTTGATTCATCCGCAATAAATGAGCTCAAAGTTTTATTTTTAGGTTCAGATTTTCATTTTTTCTCAAAATGCTAAGGACATTCAAAATGGCATGATTATGAAGACTGTATACCACGTGAATTGAGATCATGTATTAGTACACCCTTATTACAGACCTAAATTATTTGACTGCACCCTAATTTCTTTAATATTTTACTCCCAAAAATCCATTGAAGGTTAAAGAATTTGAATCCTGAAATTGTCACCGGGAAATTGGAGTCTGATGGAGTCTGAGCATTCCAACAATTGAAAGTGTCATGCTTCAGTCCCCTAAAAATTTCCTCAACAGCCTCCTCAATAAATGTTTGAATAATCAATATCCTGTTTTTTGTTTGTCCAAATGAAGCTGCTATTTATAAAATGCATAAACAAAATATTCATTAAAATCAAAACCAGAATCTGCATAATATATTTATATAATATTTTTGTTGCCAGTGACTACTTAAAGATGCAAATTTCCAATAAGAGCAGACAGCAGGAATGAACGATCACAAAACTTGAAATTACATCTGCGTAGTCACTAAAGTGCATTGACTAGAACAGGCAACAATGGTTTCACTTTCACTTATAAAAATGCTATCAAACATTCTAAATCTTGTCATTGGTCCAAAGCTTCAGAGCTATGCAATTCTTGGCTTCTTGGTACTGCAGCCGGGACACTTGTATTGCTTGATGTGTTCAGCCTTGGCGGGAGTAATTTTAACACATTTACCATGGAACCATTTCTCGCACATATCACAACAGATCCAGAATTCATCAGTGCCATAATTATCACCACAAGCACCACAGGTTGCACCTTGTTCATCATCTTCTTCATCATCATCATCTTCTTCTCCACTGTCATCCTCTTCTTTGGGCGGTGCAGACATCTTCACACCCTTGGTCTGAGACTCCGACTGGCGGGACTGTTAAAAAGGATGCATCCAAACAGAAAAAACACAAGTGAATTTCCATGCATGGCGGTGATAGAAACAGAAAATAAGAATATGAAATGGAAAACTGCATACCTTTCCACTTGATTTGAATTTGCTATTGCTACCATTGTTATGAGCAGGCGGTTGGTCCTTTGATTGCTTAGCAGTTCCAGTTGCAAGCTCAAAGATAGTTGGCAGCTCATTTATCATCTGAAAAAGCCTTTTCCTATAAATATCCATTTGAGCCAAAATTAGAAGAAGCTCGTAAATATAATATCTCGTACAAAACTTTGAGCTCAATAACATTCATCAGATTTCTTGCAATATATAGGAATATTGCTTTTTCATTTTTGTTTCCTTGACCTGCCCTATCCCAATTATCTAGCAGAAGACGTGTCATATATATCCCCCAATCCTTTAGTTTATAGTATCTGAATGCACTACCATTTTAGATATTCAACAGAGCCTGTGCCAACTGTATAGGGAAAAGGGATCAAATGTCAACTGTATGGCGGAAAAGGGATCCAATGGGAGACTCAAGTATATATATAAAAAATTATGGGTTAAAGTTGGCGAATATGTTACGTGCAAATACAAGATAAGGCTGCCAACAATAGACTATAATGGGTCCAACCCTTTCCTGGACCCTGCCAAGATAAGAGCTTTGTAGCACAAGGTTGCCCTCCTTCAACTGCCGATGGAATACTTTTAAGCACTTTCAAGACTCCCAATGAAGTTACACAATCTAATGAAATGCAATTATAACATTCAAAATATCACATACCCATACTAGATATGTATCAGCTATACCACGAATTAGACATCTAAAAACTGATATACCACTAAATAATGCATTATTTCAGGGCGCCATCATGGCATTAGGCTATGTTATATCTCAATGTGAACTCTCAAAATTTTCCTTTGTCGTCTAACTTTCAAGCATTAATAAACTATGTTACTTGTAGTGATGAAGATGCCCATTCCCTGTTCTAAGATCTTAAGATTCAACAGTAAAACTTAGTGTTATTCCCATTGATTAGGTGAATGTAAAAAACAGTAAAACTTCACCCTTTGAACCATCCTAAATATTTTTTTCACAGAAGATCATTAAGAAAATATACAATATCACACAATAAAAAATGATTGAGTTATTTCATTCAAGAGACAATATTAGAATAAAGCTATATTATATTCGTTAAATTGAATCGAGGAATTACATCCATACTTCAAACCTACATCACCAGTTACCACATACAAACTAAAAGATCCTGAATGGAGATTTAGGAATTAATAATTATAACAGCCGCATCCAAGAAAAGTGAAAAATAATGTTAAAAGACATTAATCAGCTGCATATTACTAAACTCCAAAGTTATAATACTTTGATAAACAAGTTTAAATCTCATAAAATTCCAAGGTCCAGGACTCCAAAGCAAAATATGATAGCAGGTGAAAGATAAAAACTGAAAGTAGAAAAAAATTACAGATTTTAGACGAGCATTACAAATTTTATAAATCAAACAACAAAGCCTTTTTCCACTAGGCGGGTCACTTACACGAATCAAATAACACCATAATATCTTTTCATGAATTAAGTCCAATGATAGACTATGTAACTCTAAATTTCTCTAGACGATTTGACCAAAAGTTTTTCTTATATCCCTCTACCTCTAAGCATCAGAATGAGACAATCCTCCAATTGGTCTGCCCTTGTAATTGGTGATTCCTTGGGTCTTCTTCACACATCCCCAAAACATTTAAGGCAAGAATCTACCAACTATTCTACACTCAAAACAACTTAAGGCAAGACTATACCATCTTTCATAATCTTATAGAACCACTCATCTATTGTAGCATTATTAGGAGAAAAGTTAATTGGACAGTGATAAATATAAGTCATGCATAGTCTTTGCATTGAATGGACTAATTGAGGATCATTATATTTTTAAACCTCTAGCAGTGTGAGAACAAAACATTAAAGAGCATGTAATTTACACAAAGCATAAACCTTAAGACATGGGAAAGAATGTACATCACATAGGCACGTCCCATGTTAACTTTTGTGTTATAAGCAAAACATAATCCATAATCTCAACAGAGGAGTGGGGAGATTACTGCTCGATCATAAGTATACTACTAAGCAACAAAAACGTATAACATCCAATGTTTCATGCTTGTTTACAGATTTAATAAATTAATGAGACGCAAAATAAAAAACAAATATAAAATTAGCAATCTGGCACAAACAGAAATTGCATTGCAAATTTCAAATAGATTAAACTGACAAAACTTAATGCAAATATTGTACACTGCTTGAAATGAATGATTCTAACCCGCCTATATGTATCAAAGAAGTTCAAAACTAGCAGGTGTATGCAAAGTCAAACACTTGAAGGAAAAATAAAAATCAAGGACGGAAATAAGTTGAAGAAAGAAATTGAGTTCTATAAGAATAACAAAGAAATTTTTAATGTTTATAGACTTGACAATTTTCACATGAGTATAATAGAGAACAGAAATTCTTACCTTTCATTCTTACCGAATCCAAAGCGAGCACCAAAATAGAAAGCAACAGCAAGCAGCCATGAGTCACTGTGAACTGCAACCAGTGATAACCAGTCCTTCTCTTGCATGCCATCCCTAGCAAAGTTTATACCTAACGCTGGCTCGGGAAGTTCGGGAGGCACTTCTTCAACAGGCAAATTCACTTCCCATGTTTCACTTGGATATCCGTATAAGCACAAATTCTCTTTGTCTGCAATTGTCAATGAGAAGAGTATAATGTTACCAAATAACAGCACTTTAAATAATCACTTTTCTGGGGTTGTTCCTATTTGAGAGAGATTACAGAGGCAAATTATGTAACCTACTTCTATAAAATATAACCATTCAAAACTTTCTAAATTAAACGATTAAGCAAAAATTTCAGAGACATGGTTAGTTTACTAACGAAAAATATATCTGCAAGCATGCAATACAACCAACGATTTAACCTTATCCTCTTCCTTTCGAACCAATAATCACTCTTGTATCAACTTCCAAACATAACGAAGCCAAAGAGAAAAACAACAGGCCGTTAAGTTTATTTGGATACAATGAAAGCCAATAAAACTAGTAGAAGTGACAGATGTAGTGGTGATAACTAAAACCACATTAATCAGCCAAAAATATACTGCTGAATTGCAAATAAGAAGAGAACAAATGACGTTTAGTTCATCATCAACCGAAGTTCACACATTCTACTACCAGCATTTATGAATCCTAACTGTCCCAGTGTTACTGATGGCCTAAGGCCAAAATTCTACCATTTCAAGCTCAGAAAAAAACCACAGCGCCGCCATCCATCACAAATTGAAAAACACCACAGCGCCGCCATCCATCACAAATTGAAAAACACCACAGCGCCGCCATCCATCACAAATTGGCCGTAGCGTTTAACAAAAACCCTAGCATTACAATCTGCCATAGCTACAATTTGACAAAATTTTGAAACCGAAAGTTGGAATCCCCAATTCCGTCAATGACATAAAATATTTGCAATTACAGAGAGTGAAGTAAAGTCGAACAGTCGGCGTGCATGAATAAGATAAAAAAATGCACAAAAATGAAGGTGTTAAATGAATAAAATCTACAAGTATTAAAAGCATAGAGCGAGAGTGAAAGTAACAAACCGGGATCGCAGAGCTGGTAAAACTTTTCAACGTCTGCAAGAACAAGAACAAGAAGGATTGATCGAGTAAAAAAGAAGAATGAGTAGTAGGTAGGTAGAGAGAGAGAGAGAGTGACGAACCAGTAGTTAGGGCTTTGATCAAACCAGCGCGTCTTCCCTTATAATCGCTGAAAACTTCTTCGACAGTTCGAGGTACTGGGTGAGGTATTCCTTCCATTTTCTCTCGTTGATTCAACAATTTCAATTTCAATTTTCAATTACAATTATATACTCTACTTTTCGTCTACTATGGTACCTATATTTTCGTTTATTTTTCGTACCTAGGGTTTTATTATTAGTATTTCTTTTTGTCTTTTTTCTATTCTAAATGAAAACGGTGTTTCTTTTGTGTGTTTATCCGAATGCTGAATAATAAGGCGACGCACGCAATGTAAGGGAAACTAACTCATCGTGCTATCATTTTTTTATTAAATTAAATTGAATAATAAAACATTACATTCAATTCAATTCAATATGATAATAAAACATTACATTCAATTCAATTCAAAAGGGTTGACCATGTAAACCCAATATTTCTTCCCCTTCCTAAAAAAACACTCTCCATCTTACTAATTAATTAGGAAAAAACTGTTATGTTAACTCAGCTAAGGTGATAGTGCAAGAGAGGTGTGATTGAATTCGCAACTTCTCACTCATTTGTTGGTAGTTAAAAATGAATATCAATCATTAAATTTTAATTCAAAAAATTAATTATGAAAAATAATACTAATTATTTAACTTTATTAATTATAAAAATAAATTAAGAACAACGTCCCATCTTCAAATTTAAATGATTTTAACTTATCATTTTAAATGTAGTTGACTTTATATGATAGAGATAAAGTATAATTTATTATAAAATTATTTTATTGATATAAAGAATTTAATATTAAAAAGAATATAGAATCATAATATATAGTAACATATATTATATGAAAAAAATTAATATTTCATTAACAGTATAAAATGTGTTATAATTTGTAATAATTTTTTATTATAAATTAACTTATAAAGTGAGTAAATTTAAAATAGAAATTGTACTTTATAAATTTATTTTTTAGTAATCAATATTATAAAAAATAATAATATATGGTAGAAGGTACTTCACTTAAATGAGATGTATATGCCTTCAACTCTAAAAATATAGGTAATTGAACCTGAGTCTGGCAAATGGTGCAAGTTCCACGAGGTTAGAGGACATCACACATAAGATTGTCACAAATTTAAAAAGGAGATAAAGTGTATAATCTAAGAGGATCACATCAAGAAATACGTCAAAGGTGACTTCTCCCAAGAGTTAGACGAGGTCGACTCCTACAAGTATGATGATACTAAGAACCCTAGACCTAGAAAGGGAAAGGTGTTATCCAAGGAAGAATGTGACAGGGTTGTACACCACACACTCAATATTGTTGCATGATGATTTGTAGGACGGAGAGATCAGTTTTACCCAATGAAGATATGTTCACCAGATATTAACTATAAAGGACTTGCCCACAAATCTGAAGGTAGGAGAGACCAAGGTACCAAGGTCGAGATCACTTTTTAAAAAAGGATGCAGCATGTCGTCATCCCCATAATGACGACCCCATGGTCACCACCATGAGATGTGATGTTTGGAAATTCAAAAAAGGCTTAATATAATAAGGAAGCCTCGCAAATATCCTCTACTGGGATGCATTTGAAAGGCTTCACCTCAACCAGACGATCTAAAAACTTTCAAAAGGTCACTGGTTGAATTTTTTAGAGAGCAAGTACAAGTAAAATGTTACATTACACTAAAGACCATTATCGAAGTGGGGGAACAAGTCAAGCAGATCAAAGACATGTATCTGGTTATAAACGTCACATCTTTCTATAATATGATCATAGGGCGACTAGCTTTCAACTAGTTAGACACCGCCATATGTATCATATATATGTGCATGAAATATATGTTCTCTAACGGGCAGGTTAGAGTCATCCAAGGAGACCATGAAGTCACCAAGAAATTGGTCCATCTATTTTAAATTTAAACAGTTTTGATCCCCTTAATTTAAATTTAAACAATGTTGATCTCCCTCTCATACTTTTGCACTTAAAATTAACGATGTTTTAATTTTTTAAATGACAAGTTATCGTATATAAACATATTATTAAACTTTGTAGATAAAATTATAAGTTAAAAAATGAAAAATTCATCGATTTTCTATGAAAAATGTGAGAAGGGAACTAAAACTATTTGAATTTAAAATATGAGGACTAATTTCGTGAATCGCATAAAATCGAAAACTAAAACTGTAGTTTAGCCTAATTTGTTTTTAAGTTGTATAATTCCATGTAAGCACATTTAATGACGCGGCACCACATACTCAGGGCCACGTCAGTATTTTGAGATGCCACGTACACAATAATGAAGAGGGACTAAAAAATCTATAAAAAAAGTTAAATAGACTTTTGGTCTCTATAATTTGATGGTTTTTAACTTGTAGTCTCTCCATTTTAAAAACCATCTTTTTTTATCCTTCAATTTTAAGTCACTTGGAATTTTGTTGGTCTCCTGCAATTTTGGAGACAAAGATGATTAGTACAAAAAAATTATTATTAATGACTTGACAATATTGGTAAAGATAATTTATTTATTAATTATCTTTTAATTAATTAATTAATCAATTAATAATATTTTTAATATGTTTTTATTTTAAAATTAATTAATTAAAAGTTTTTAATGAAACATAATGACCCAACCTTTTTGGCCTATATGCATATGGTATTCTTTCAATTCAAAATCCTATGCATGAATAACCTTTATAAACAATAAAATGTTTTTTTGAATAAAACGATGTCAGACTTTAATGGATTGTTTGTCTTGTCTCTCTCATACTTAATGTGTGATGTTTATGATTTTCAGGTTGACATTTCTCATTGTTACTTCATGTCTTCTAGCAAGTTTCGTGAGAAATGTTTATCATACAAAGATCAACAATATTGAAGTTAGAGGTGGAAATAGGCTAGACCGAGTTAGGCTTTGTCAAGTCTAAGTTTGGCTTGCCAATAACAACTTAAGTCTAAGTCTTACCTATAGCCTGTCACTTATTTTTAGGCATGAGTCTAGTTTTTTCGAAGGTCTGGTTAGCCTGTTAGGCTACATAAATGCCTATTAATTTTAGACATATGTAAATAAGCAATTCAAATAATATTTAAATAGACTAACAAACAAAAAGACCAATGAGAATAAAAATTTGTTTGCATTGATTTATTTTAACTTACCTATTAGCATAAGTTTTGTGAAACAATTTGTTTAAGAGAACTTATGAAAATAACTTATGACATTGTTCATAGTGTTTCATCCTATTTTCATAAATTCTCCAAGATAACCAGATTTTATTTATGTATTTTAATTCAAAGTACAAAAATAATATAATGATAATAAAAAAAAAAATTCATATTTGTTTAAATAGATCAGTCTAATAGGCTTAAGAAACTTTTTTTATTGCATGGGGACTAGTCTTTTTAACTAAATAAACTTATAAAAAGTCTTGACCTTTTCTATTTAATACAAAAGTCTGACCTAACTTGAGCCTGTGTAGGCTAGAATGTAGACCACTGTTAGTTGGTCTGACCTATTTTCACCCCTAATTGAAGTAAAGAAACACACTTTCACCAACTACAAGATTAAAGTAAAGATCAACAATATTTTGACAACTCTTGTAACACCGTGGAGAACAACACCAAAGGAAGAAATCCATTTAACTTCTTCTCTACCTAAACTTGTTTAAACATACTTTAATGGAACCAACACTTGTAAGCAACAACCAAAACAATAGCAGCAATGGTAGTAAAAATTTTGACTATGAACGTCCAGGACTGTTTCTAATGGCATTGGAAAGTGAATGCAAACTTAAACAATTGTATCATCATAGGATGAAAGTGATGGGTACAAACCCAATAAGTTCTTGTTCCATATAGTTTCAACATTTAACGTTTATATATTTTCATGCTGAAGATTTTAGTTGTCTTGTCTCATTAAATATCTAACTAAATATTGTACAATTGTTCATATATATGTGATTATGCTTTGAGTTGTTATTTGTTACTTCTAATTAATAGAGCTTTATTCATGTAAACTAACATAATCTAACTAAATAAGTAAATATATTATGGAACATAAAGAAATATTGATACTAATTATTGCGGTGGGAATCAGATATCAATCTATTGAATTAACTTAAATCACAAATCATGAAGTTCACCATCGAGCTTTGATTTATCCAAAAGAAAGGGTAAAGATCGAAGAAAACCTTAAGTATGCTATGTAACAACACAACTAAGAGATCTAAGGTTTGGAGGTTGGTTATACCTAGGGAAGGTGTTAGCATCCTAAGTATTTGTAGTACTCTACAGGAACTTCTTGTTAGTATTTGTGTTATGCTAAAATGTGCTTGCTAAAGGGACTGTGTTAAGGTAGAGACCTAAAGTATATATAAAGTATGTACAAAGTATGATCGCCAAGATATCGCATCTCGTGCCTATGTATCCTGACGGGAATGAAATCAGAGCAACCGTAGTTTCTCTCAAAAAGGCGAGGAACTCTTGACTATGGTCAAGGTTCCAAAGGGAAAGTAAATGTCTGCGGTAAGACATTTACATAGAGTGCGACGACTCTAAACTAAGGTTAAGTTAGCAAGGAAGGGAATATCCATGGCGGGACGACTAAATAGAGCACGACGACTCCAAGTCCTATGGTAAAGGTAAACAAGGGAAATGTCCACGGCGGGACGACTAAATTGAGCACGACGACTCCAAGTCCTATGGCTAGGATAAAGGGTGAGGACATAAGGTTAGGTTAAGTATGACATGGCAATCAACAGGGGGATCTTTTCCTTTGGAATGATTAAAATGGGGCTTTCATACAAATTAAGCACCATGAAAACAACACCAAGATAAGACAAAGCAGAACTTCAATATAAGAATTAGATTTATGAGTAGGTATAGAGCAATCATCAAATAGGAACTCACAAGACAAAAATGTCATGATATCTACGAGTATAGGAAAACAAAGGCTAAATATGAACCAAGAAGATTAATATCATACACAAACCAAAGAGAAAAGTCATTAACCAAATTGAATAAAATAAAATAAAAAAGAATAAGTAAAAAAGATTAACAATTAAACACACATTTTTTGGATTTTTAGAA